GTTATCCAACCACTTTACCCAGTACAGCATCACAGAGGAGTGGGAACCTATTCAAGCAAGCAGTGAGCGCAAGGCAGGACACACCAGTGTCCAGTCCACGCCAGTCTACTGCAGGGCAGACACAGCCACACACACTCACACCAGGGCCAGTTTTCCTAAAAGCCAATTAACCCACCAGCATGTCTTCGGCCTGTGGCAGGAAATAGGAGCACCTGGAGAAAACCCAGGTAGAACATGCAAACTCCACACAGACGGCACCCCAGGAACAGAACCCAAGGCTCCAGAGCTACAAAGCAGCAATGCTGACCACTGTGCTACTGTGTTGTTCCCTGAATAGTTAATTAAAAACAGTTTCAAAGCAGCACTGGAGTGGCTTAAGGTCATAAAACCATGCATATAAATTAATCATAGTAACTTTTACTTTAAGACTTTGCACTGAATAACATTTCCAGTTCTTCTTGGCTGGAAGGTAGCTTGTGGAGTGAGGTTAGTCCCCTAAAACCCAGAAATTACAGAAAAATGAGCATCACGCTCAATTTTTAGTTGAGCCTGTCTTTAAATTCCTGATCAAGAAAGGTAGTCGGCTACCGAAGTCCAACAATTAATGTTTGAGGTACATGGTTATAGTCTCCATTTCAGTGATTTGGACAGAAAAGGTCAAGTATAATTCTGCTGAAGATTATCCTAGAATACTGCTGATATCATTAGGCAATCGCAACAGCCCTACGTAGGTACCTTAATGATGTATAGTTGTAAGATAGATGAGTCAGAAGCTGATATTTCCATTGAACGTTTTTTTTACAAGCTTTTAGGTATTTTGAGGTTCTGTGTTTGTCCAGAACCTGAAAGATGAGTACCAATATAAAGTTTTAAGTTTTCAACCCCTAGAATCTGCAGTGAGGATCCATCTGGTCCTGCGTGATGAGACCTAGAAACAATGCTGAGATCGAGACATGCACATAAGTATAAGACGTATACCAGCTAAGCGTGTGAAATGAGTACAAGACTACCAGGAAAAGTAGAGATTTAGGAAATTAGGTATAAAACAGGGCCATAATCTTTAAATTGATAAAATTCTGAAGCAAAAACAAAACTTGAAAATGTAAATGGCATGTTCTCAGTGTTTAGCTTGATTGCCTTCAGTTAATGTTTTTTAGCATTTCTATGCCACCACTTTCAAAATAGGACTGTAAACCTTTTTGGTCTAGTTTGATTTCAGTCCAATTAGATGCTTTCTCTGTTGTCCCCCCAGACTATAGCTGCTCATTCTGAATTACAAGGGGAGGGGGGGGGGGTTGATTCTTAACTGGCAACTGGATTTAAACCAGTTGAAACTTCACTGGCTTTAATCTGGAGCTCTTTGAAAACTAGTATATTAGAGTGGGGCACTGCCTCTAGGTCTTCCAGCTCTCTTAAGAGAGACATAATGGTGAATGTAAAAAGCTTAATTTAGAGTCCTCTCCTGAAGGCAGGATTTTGGGACTGAGTGACAGCTATGACTTTCGTTTGTCAGCAGTATGGTTTTCGGCGGGGGGGGTCATTCTGTGTTTGTCAACTTTTCACAGTTATGGCCAAGATGAATGAGCTTGAAACTACATTAATAATAACCCACTTGCTAACTATGTGACAGCTCTGTTCTGACTGATAGAGAAAACAGTAGTGAAAGACCTTTTTAATGTGACAGGATGGAAGAAAACTGTGCTTAAAATGGCACTAGTAGAACTTGCATGTTTTGAATTTTCACAGGCTTGTCTTAGTTCAGTTTTGTGTTATGTTGTTTGAAGGTATTGGTTATGTGTTGTGTTATTTTCATTTATATCGGTGCTAGTTTTGATTGGATTTGGATTTTTAGGAAAGATGACTAATGACCATTGAGTAACATTGCAGTCATTTGGATTTCTAAATGATATGTACTGTATGCCTCACCATTTAACATTTTCAGGAAATGCCCAGTAAAAAAACATTTACTAAGTTACTTTTGCTTAGTAACACACTATATCACTTTGTCAATTTTCACACTGCAATGATATACATATTCCTTTTGTTTTAGTCGGAAATCAGCAATGTTTTTGCTTTTGTCATCTTTTTGTGGATGGTATGTTTTGAGTTGTTAATATGTTGTTAAAATGCTTGTTTATTGGTGCTGATAGAAATTAATAATTTTCCGTGCCAAAATGGTGCTTTGAAGCTTTTTTCTGCTTCAATTTTGTGTTCCAGGTGCTCCAGCAAACTAGAGGGGTTGTGATAAAGCAACCATTTGCCACTGTACAACCACAGTCAGCTGCACTTCTTCAAACTAGAGTTCTCCAGAAGCCTCCTTTGACTGCAGCATTTCAGACAAGTTTGCAACAAACAGGTAAGTGAAATAAAAGCACTTTGGTTTTCTAAAAAGCTCTACCATCCAAAAGTCTTTAAAAGGACAATGCTGTACTTCATAAAGGTGTCTCGAGGGTAAAAGGCGGTCTTCAGCCTTTATATGTGATTACTTTATTATGGATAAAAATTACAATTGCGTTCATCCGATTACATACGGAAGGTTTTTTTCTGTTGCGTTATGGGTATCAGATCTGAAATGGTTGTTTAGTAGTGTTTGCATTGATGGCTTTTGATTAACCCTGCCAAAGTGTTAATCGCCTCAAAACTAAAGAAGAGCTGTCAAATTATATTAATTTGCCATAGGCTGTAATTGAAAACGGTTTCTCCTAACAATCATTTTTACTTGATTTTATAAACATGAGTTTTAGTGTATCAACTCTCAGTGGTCCCCACTAAAATGAGTAATTCTTTGTGTCTGTTGGCCCTTTATACAATAGAGCACTTTACTGATGCAGTTTTAATGAAGTACCTGGGCTCGAAGGTACAACAGCAATGCTCAATCTGGGATTTGAACCCACAGCCTTTCAAATATATTTCCAGAGCCTCAACATGGTTCTGTGATTTTAAAAGCCTGGTCTATATTGGTATTCAGAGCTGCTTTGGTAAACTTGATGAAGTTGTCCAAGTGGTTGTCATACTGATGCGCCAGAGAGACCATAACTGAGTTGGTTCGCGGAGAGGAGTGGTTTATGTTCTTATGAACCAGGGTGACCACAGCCCATCCCTGGATCCATTACTATCTATACTCACCCATCAACACTAGGTCAGGGGAGGGAGCTTGAAGGAAGAAAAGCACCAATTTCACCTTTAACTGCAAATCAACATCCGGTTTCTGCTGTAACACATTGGCAAGAGCCAGGTATTGTATTATGTCAGCATAAATGGATTGAAAGACAGTAGCCAAACATTAGGGAGATCCGGGGTTGAGGCAGCAAGCAGGTAGTCAGAACTAGAGGAGTAAACAAAACGCAGAGACACAAGCGCCAAGTCGAGGATATAACTTGTGAGAACTGAGCACGGATTGCTGCTGAAGCTGGGTTAAATACCCTGGTGGAAACAAGGTAGTTGCTGTTAACTATGTAATGTGGCACCAGCATCCTGCCTGACTGTGCTGTAGAGGGTACGGGCTGAGCTGATTAGAAGATTCATTGGTCTTCTGAGCACGAGATGTGCATTGGGAGCACTTACCTGCAAATGGGTCTAACAGTCACAGTATATCTTCAAATTCTATCTGCAGTTCAACATTGGGCAGCTTCCTAATCATTCACTGGTGTCTTACATCATTTGCAGTGTACCTTTACTATTTATTTTCCTTTTCTCCACTGTCAAAAACAATCTGCTTTTGAATCTACAGTGATGGAGAGAGAAGGCTTCCTTGGCAAGTCGCCATCTTGGCTCAAACCCAGGCCATTAGGTGGCTTTGAGCCAAGATGGCTGCTGAGCACTTGAAAATGGGTAATAATAATAATAATTGCTTACACTTATATAGCGCTTTTCTGGACACTCCACTCATAGCGCTTTACAGGTAATGGGAACTCCCCTCCACCACCACCAATGTGCAGCATCCACCTGGATGATGCGATGGCAGCCATAGTGCGCCAGAAAGCTCACCACACATCAGCTCTCAGTGGTGAGGAGAGCAGAGTAATGAAGCCAATTCATAGATGGGGATTATTAGGAGGCCATGATTGGTAAGGGCCAATGGGGAATTTAGCCAGGACACTGGGGTTACACCCCTACTCTTTTCGAGAAACACCCTGGGATTTTTAATGACCACAGAGAGTCAGGACCTCGGTTTTACATCTCATCTGAAGGACGGTGCCTGTTTACAGTATAGTCACTACACTGGGGCATTAGGACCCACATGGACCACAGGGTGAGCACCCCCTGCTGGTCCCACCAACACCTCTTCCAGCAGCAACCAGGGTAGCAATCCAGGGTAGACTTAGATGCACCAGGGCTGAATGAGTGTGTGACACTTGGGAGAGGAGCTGTCAAGATACGGTGCTGTGGAGTCAGCCATGTGCAATTCATCTGACATTTGAGTTGGGTTGTAATAATAGGCACGTTAGACCACATCTTTCTTTAATTGCCACAGCTTGGAGAGCAAGTACTGCTATTGTAAAATCCTCAACCTATATGTTCCTGCTTATTGAACACCCATGACTGATGTTCTCAGTTTTTTTCATTGTCCCTTTTAATTAATAAGTAATAGGTTTATTCCATGCTGAAAAAAAGAAGAAAGAGAACACAACGTTTCGGCCGTGGAGCCTTCTTCAGGTGTGACACCTGAAGAAGGCTCCACGGCCGAAACGTTGTGTTCTCTTTCTTCTTTTTTTCAGCATGGAATAAACCTATTACTTGTTCCTTTGCAGCCTACGCATGCTGACGCAGCTACCCACCTGAACTACTACCTTTTAATTAATACCTACTAATACAAAAGTATAGTCCTATCAGTTGTTTACCATTCATTCTATGCATGTAACTTAATTCCAAGTATGTCCCTATTGAATAATGAAAGTGCAGGTAGTCAAAAGAGAACTTTTGCAATCTTTTACAGTTTTTGATGTTGCATTAAGTTTTAGTACCGATGAAGGGTGACATCTAGCACCGGATCTGCTCCTGAACCCTGATCGAAAGTGATTCGGGATACAACTTGCATGGTATCCCTAGCCACCAGCTGCGGAGTTAGGGGATTGGTATGGAGATGTGTCCTGGCCAAACAGGATCAGCTCTGAAGAGAGAGAGAGTTAGAGCTCCATAGATGGAGGCTCTTTGTAGAGCTGGCTAATGGTACTTGAGAAGGTAAAGAAAAGGATGCCACACTGTGGGGCATCATGGGTATTGGACAGGTGGGCTGAATGCTAGCTCACTTTCCAGGACCAGTGGTGAAGACATGCATTGCTGAAGAACTGGAGTGACTTGCTGGATCAGAGCAGACTGAAGGAGAGAAGTGCTGTTTGCAAGAGGCAAGTGAGACTTCTCACGAGTGAAAGGAAATATTTTCAGAAAGTTATATCATTGTAACATTTGAGAGCTGTTTTTTGTGAGAAAGGGAGCTAGATGCTAGAGTACTGCTCTGCATAGGGTAGAAGGTATTCCAAGGGAAGACAAAAAGTGTAAAAGATTAAGAGAGCACTCCTGATTGACAGTGAAGAGAGTCCTGTGTGGGCAAGACATAACATATCTGGTGGGGGAAAGGTAATGAGTTGTAAGAGAAGAAGGTGGCAGGACTGGGAGAAGGAAAGGGTCTCTTCTTTCCTGGAGGGGGATCAGTGTGAGAGCTGTGAGTTAGAGAGTATATCGGTGGAAACAGGAGACACGTCAGGGTAGCGCCAGGCCCTACAAACACCAGGAAGTCATGCGACAAGGCCAGCATAAGTCACATGGAGAAAGGTCACTGTAGGCTGAGGGGCAGTTTTGTCACGCCTACATGTAATCCTAGCTTTTACGTTCTCTTTAATTTGAACAGAGTTTTTGTTAACGGCTTCAGCCCTGAAGCACAGCCCTCTCAGGACCATGCTGCTGGTTTTAGTCACGTGACCGTTTCGTCTTCATCCTCTAACGTTAGAATTAAGACTAACACTTGTCTACTATTAACTCTGCCCTTAATCTTAAGGGTGACTAGAGGTGGACATAAATGTGAAATAAAGCAGTTTTTTGAAAGATTTATTATTTTTTTAAAACACTTTTGAAGGAAGGGTTGTACAGTGACTTAGTAGTTATTATTGCCATCTCACAGTGCTGGGACCCTGGGTTCAGTTCTGGACCTAGAGCACAATCTGTGTGGGGTTCAGATATTGTCCCTGTGTTTGCGTGGGTTTTATTTGATAATCTGGTTTTCACCTGACATACTGGTAGGTTAACCAGTTTCTAAGAAAATTAGCATGTTGCATGTATTTATACGTGTGCCCTGGGATGGACTGGTGTTCCATCCACGGAGAATCCTGCCTTTCGCCCACTGTTTGCCGGGAAGAACTCCAGCTCCCCCATAACGTAACTCTAAATTGGACAAAGTGAAATGGAAAAAAAATGGATGGGTCTTTAAAGGAAAATTAACTATAACAAAGTGTTCTACGTTAAACACAGTTTGTGCCCAATAAACATATAGTGGATGCATACAAAAGTAGGTAAAAAAGAATCATTTAAAAATCAGACATGTAGTTCCAACAATGATAAAATTATTACTCCAAAACATAAACATTTCCTTGCGCAAGGACATCGAAAGCATAACAGACCTAATGCATTAGGGATGATTCAAGGCTTGTATTGTCACTACCTCTGAGATTTAATTTATCAAGAGATTCATTTATAAATTCAGTGATGTAATTTGTAGTTTAATTCTAGGAATGGCACGATAGGAACAGTAAATCTAATTAAAAAGGTTGAGTGGATATTTACAAGTCCTGCATTTAATGCTGGAATCTTTGCATTAGTAAAACTGTTTCTGTCTTTCCAAGGTGAATGCAAGATAGTTGGGTCTTTCATAGGCTGTTGATTAAAGGTCTTGTGCAGTAACTGTCCCATTCATTCTTTTATTCAGTAATCTGGAACACTAAGCTACTCAAGAAACCTGACGCATCCATAAGGAATTTAAGTAAAATACAGTTAATTAAAATTGAACAATAACTTGTAACTTGCTATATAATGATTTTAAAGGTACAAAAAGGTTATTATTACTTCAGTAACCTTTGTTTGGTGCCAATTGTAACTGGTTAAGTTATTGAGATGAGTTTATACCTGCACTGTTGAGAGGGTGGACTGTATTAAAGTAATCCAAAATAAGCCATTCAGAAATTTACAGAGTCACACTGGGGTTAGGTAATCCTCTTTGAGGCAGAGGTTATCTGAATTTGCTTGCTATCAGTGGGAAAGAAATTCATTTTTGATCAGCTTCTTGGTGTTATTAGAAGTGCTTGTGGGAGTCTGATGCCTTATTATCGGTCCTCATCTGCCTCAGGACAGAGTGAATTGCTCAAATCGTATTATGCATCTAGTCATTAATGTATAAAATAATCGCTGTTCTGGAGGTCAGTTCTGAGAGAGAAACTCTGGAGGATATGTTTTCTGCAAGCAAATATGCTCTGATGCTGGAGGCTGCCGATGGATGTATTATTCTCTACTTGGGGGGTCACAAGCATGTCTTCAGGCATTCTTTCTTCCTGGGTGACTATGGGAATAACGATTAACTTTTTTATAAAGCAATATTCTCATTTTAATACATGAATCTATTAAGACCTCATAGGTAAAATAATCCTGTTCCTGTTAAGTTGGCATGTTGCCAGGCACATGAGGTACAAATTAGAATGTCTTAAGCAAAATAATAACCCAGAATTTCACGGAAAGCACACAGTAGCGATTTGCACATGACTCTTCCTGCATCGTCTTCCTTTATTGCTAGAGCTGTTACGAATGCTGAAGTTGAATGGTTTTTATCTTCAAGATATACGCACTCTTAATTTTCTGTGACTTTTAATCAGGTCTGTTTATCTGTGAACTGCTGTACTGGGAGCTTTCATGCTACTAATAATTTGGAACTCTTTGTGCTTTAATGTACACATTTGTGCACTTTAGTTTGTTTTTACTAATAAAACAATACATGTTTGAGCTATTGGGGGGGGGAAATAAAGGCTGCAGGCTGTTCCATTTTTTTTTATCTGTGTGGTTTCCCATGTTTTACCTGTGACTTAGTCTGTAGCTGTCTCTGCTCTGATTCCATTCCTGGGCACCTTATTTATTTATTTTTGGTCATCTGCAGGTACTGTTGTAAAACAGGCCTTATTTCATAAACCGAATATCATCAATGTGCAGACCTCCCTTGTCCAGAAAACCAGCTTCAAGGAGAACAGCTCGGCCACTTTCAGGTACCTCTTGAGCGCCACAGCAATCCATTCAGCAGCTTGGTCATCTCCCCCCCCCCCCTTTAAAAGGCACAGGAATTACTTAACCTGTTTAGAATTAGCCTTCCAATTACAGTATAATTGGAAAATTTTGGGGGAAAAAAATTAGCTGGTGAGCCAAAATAGTGTCATGCTGTACTGTTTCCGTGTTCTGCCCCAGGGAGATAGATTAAAGATTCACATTTCACAAAATGTGACCGAACAGCTCTTAACCCGTTGTCGTCCCGAGGTCTGAAGTGTTGCTCAAGCTGCTCTATCGGTTTCTCTTCTCAGGGATGAAGATGACATTAATGATGTGGCTTCAATGGCTGGTGTCAACCTCAGTGAGGAAAACGCTCGTATCTTAGCGACCAATTCCGAGCTTGTGGGATCGATTATAAGATCCTGCAGGGATGAGCCCTTTCTGCTAACAGCTATCCTACAGAAGAGGATTTTGGAGACTGGTAATTTTTCATTTACTTACTATTTTAACCCACCTGATGTCCACGGTGATTTGTGAATTGTTTGCATTTTATAATTATAAATATACACATTAGTTTTTTTGTAGGTTTATTGATCTTCTGCTATTTCCAGTTTCTATTTTCTTTTAATCCAACTGCCTGGTGCTTCAAAAATGTAATTTTTTCACTCAGTTCTAAATTACGGCTTTGGTAGTACTGATAATCATCAAAACCTGCTTGCTATTAAGTTTGTTTTTGTTTCTGTATAAACAATCTCAGCAGCGACACTCGGCAAGTAACAAAGAAAGAAATTAAACACAAAATAAAAACCGATAGGCTTTTGTCTTTAAAGAGAGAAAACTGCTCTTATCTGACCTTCAAAAATATTGCATCGGGAGTATTAGTGAACAGCATGCTGGAAGAAATTTCCATGTGCAGACGTTATTTTCCCCTTCATGGAAGTAGTCTGAATTTGAAATACAGGTTGTGAGTTGAATATCAGATTTCAGAACTAACTAGTAGCCTAGGGATAAAGAAAATTTGCACTGACAAGGACATGAAGTGACTTTGTTACTGATTGTTGCTCTTGCTGACAGTAGTAAGTTTCTTTTAGATTATTAAGCAGTTAGCTGGGAATTTATTTTTATTCAATGCAAAAACTAAAACTCAGACAATGAAGAAGTGTCTCATGTCTGGCACTTTTAATGCCATTTTAATATGTTATATTTTGCATTAAATTTAAGACTAATATGGTTTGATGCGGTCAGTGACACCAAAGAAAAAGTAGAGGTTAATTTCATGGTGTAAAATAGAAAAATAATCTTCATTTTCCCTTTTGAGCCTTCTTCAGATGTGAAGGTAAGAGTGAAATGTTGTCGGTTTATAAAATGGGGAGAGAACGAAGGGCAGGGAACGAGACAGCAGGTGAGAAAGTGTCCAGGTGAATGGAAAATTGAGGAAGCTGTGTGAAAACTGGAAATGTGTAGATGAATGGAGAAGCTGTGAAGAAATTCTTCCATCCCCGAGAGATTGTAGAAGGAGAGATGCAGACCTACGGATAATCTTGGCATCTGGTGTCTTTCTAGGATAAGAGCTGTGGAGCTCCTGTAAAAGGACGCAGACTGCAAGTTCAGTGCAATTGTGGCTGGCAGATGTGTAATAGGAAGCTATGGGCTTGAAGAGATCCTCGCTGCTTTGACATGTTCCTGAAACTGTCAGCCGTCTTCTGCCTGTTTTTCAGATGTACAGTAAATGGCAGGGCCCTTTCTCCAAGAGATGCATTAAATGAGACTGCTGGATACACACGATTCTCTCTGGATGATCGTGGCCAGAGGGTTCATGTATAGTTGTGCTACTAGATATAGATTTGCAGGTGATGCAGCAGCTCATGATGTATGAAACTAACCTCTTAATCCATATCCATAACTCCAAAATACATTAAATAAATATATCCTGTACCCAGAGATAGAAATCTGCTTTGCAAGCTGGTGAAAGACGTATTACAGTATATTTTAGCACAACGTGTACCCATGCATAAAACATGCATAAATAAGATGTGAGAACAAGGTAGCTGCTTAAGTGATCTTTACAATTAAAACAAAAACAAAGAAATTGGGTTATTGGTATGTGAGATGGATGCATAAGATACATGCATGATGAATAAATAAAATAAAGTACCAACCCTCCATCCACCCATTTTCTAACAGTTTCTTCCAGTTCAGGCTCTGGCAGAGGAGCCCGTCTGTCCCAGCAACAGGAGCAAGGCAGGGTACATCCTGTACAGGACGCCAGTCCATCGCAGGACACACAGCCACATGCACTCACACCAGGGCCAGTTATCCCAAGAGTGAGTTAACTTACCACTGTGTCTTTGGACTGTGAAGGAAACCAGGGCACAAGGTGGAAAAGTAGGGAGAACATGCAAACTCCACACAGACAGCACCCCAGGTCTGGAATTGAGCCCAGCAATGTGAGGCAGCCATGCTGACCACTACGTAACTATACAATCACTTGTCCAAATTAAACAGATTGATAGTCATAGGGAATAAAGGATAACTTAATTCTATTTCATTTAAAGCTGAGTTGTCTGATGGAAGGAGCTCAAATTCACTGCACAGGGGGCAGTCATGACAGTCAGTGATTATATTGGCCTTCTGCACTATTTGTTTGGTATAGATTTCTGTCACCTGTCGCGGTTGTGCACTGACAGCTTTGCTGGCTGTCTTCACAGTTCTGCTTGGTCTGTTTTTATTGTGTGTGAGAAGGCTACTAAACCAGGCTAACGCGGTGAATGTCGGAACAGATTTGGTAAAAGTTCCATAGAATAAAGTCATCGTTGTACGACGTGCATTAAAAGAGCAGTTTTCCCCAGGAAGAACAATAGCTGTTGGTCTTCTTGCTCACAGCTTGCACGGTTTTTCAAAGGTTAGCTTGTAATCAATAGTAGTGCTGAGGTATTCATGACTGTTGATAGTTTCAATTTCTTGTTCTTCGATGACAGTTGATTTTGCAGTTAGTGGTTGCTTTCTAGCTTTCAGTCACTGAACTGATCTTTGGTTCTCGACACGTTAAGTGGAAGTATGGAGTTTTTACACCATTCGGCAAAATAACACAGGACCATGGTCAGATGTAGTCTACATCTACATCAGCAAACATAATGATGTGTCTGCCCCCCAGGGGGCTTCTACAGCTGTCTGTGTAAAGAATGTCCAGGATGGGGGCAGCACACAGGAGACCTGGTGGAAGAACAAAGCTGCTCGGATATAAAACCATTCACCCCACTGCCTCTGCTCTGTTGGACAAAAAGTCCAGAATCCAACCTACAGTATTAAAATGAAAGAGTAATCTGTTTAAAGTGTGGTTGGATTGTGTGAGAGGCTGATGAGAAATCTATAAATATGCAACGGGACCGGGTGCACTTTTAAGGGCACATAGGAAATCCTTCCGAAGAAATTAGAACACAATGTAGCACATGACAGGTAGAAAGTAAGGCTTAAGGCTTAGCCAGCAGGGAACGTAAGTAAATTAATATGTAGGAGTTGGGAAATTAATTCACGCCTTATTATACAAGACCTATATCAATATCCTTATCTGACCTTCAAAAATATTGTATCAGGATGCATTAATAAAAGTATGTACAATTTGACAAATATGAAGGAATAAAGTGAAGATGAAATACATCAGTGATTTGTTTTGTTATTTGATCACACTTTTAATTACCAGTTGGAAAATGTCAGTAAAGTTGTTACCAGTATTTAAAGGCCAGGAATAATTTGGCAGCTTTGCAAATCTAAAAATTCAAATGAAAGTGAAATTGGCACCCAGCAGTACTGTATAAATATCTTAAGCTACAGCCTTCTTTGAGTTGTTATTGTTACTATGTAAACGTTTAATTATTAAATAGTGGTATCTGCATATTCAGTAAATTTGCAACATTCTGCAATGGCACAAATATATTACTTTAAAATACGTTGCCAATATACTGGAAAGTGTGTGAATTAAACCTTACAACTTTCAGCAGTTTCTCGCAAGCACTGACAAACAATGGCTGTTGGGTGCTTTTTAAAAGTGCTATAATGGATGTGAAAATTTAAAAGAGTGTGATGAAACTGTTTATAAATTGTTTGATTTTACTAAGATGCATGTTATGATTCTTCTATTACACAGGCTTTACTTGGTATATTCCTGACATATCTTATTTGGATCATACTGAAATTCAATCCCTTTTCCTGATTACTAAAAATACTATAACGTTTTCTTTAAAGTTTAAATATTCACAGTAGTATTATAAATTACCTTTACAATTTGTGAATTATGCTATAAGCACTCGCTTATTTTTTTAAAAAATTTATACAGTACCTTGCAAAAGTATTCAGCCGCTGCCAATAACTAATTATTTGGTGGAAGCACCTTTTGGAGCAATTACTGCTGCCAGTACTTGTGGATAGATCTCAACCAGCTTTGTACAGTGGGACACTGCAGTTGTCCCCATTCTTGGGATAATGGCTCTAGGTCTGAGAAGTTCCCTAGAGATTAGTACAAAGGCTAAAATAGTCAATAAATTGGTTTCAAAGCAGGACCTGTCTTTTGTACCTTTTCAAGGACATTGACCCTATTCTTTTCAGACTACTGCAACGTGGCTGTGGAGTTGTGCTTCAGGTCATTGTCAGTTTGCGGTGCAAATCTTCAGCTCACATTTACATTGTGTCGGTCAAGCAGGTTGTCCTGTAGGATTCACTGTACTTTACACCATTTCATTTGGTGCATTTGTTTTCCTTATTCCTGACAAATATCTTGGTCCCTGTCAACGAGAAGCTTCCTCATAACGTGATCTGCCACCACCATGCTTGACATACTGTAGATGATGCATCTGGTGCAGCACCAACACAGCAAGACACTGTGCCTTTAAACCAGGAAGTTAAATTTTTCTCTTCCGACCATAACGCCTCCTGTCATGTGTCTGCAGTACGTCTCATGATTTAAGGTGACTTTTGCAGGAGAGGTGTCTTTCTTGCCACTCGCCCATGCTGGCCAGCTGTGTGTGGGGAACTAGGATGTTGTTGATACTGTAGTATGTGAACAGTGATTGGCAGCTAAGATCTAGAACTTTGCAAATCTTTCAAATTCACTTTTAGCTTCTCAAGGACTGTCCTAACCATTTTGAAAGCAGTCTGTGATCCTTTGGGATGACCAGCACTAAATTAATGCAAGGAATTATATTTTTTTTATTTTATTTTCCTCCTTGCATGACTGCTTAGCTTGAAAAAATGGCATGATGTGTGATGCATATTCCACTTCTTGTTGATAGACATCAGAAGAAGTTACTGTACTTCTCCCTTTGAGTTCAGTGATCTGTGTTCTCTACCATTCCATTCCTGTTGGTTTTGAAAGCTCCTTCAACAAAAAGGCAAAAGTAACCTTCTTCATGGTCAGGTTGTCAGATTATGTGAATCATTTCAAGTTGAATATTTGTATTCTAGAAATATCTGAATATGCGTTTATTT